ATGATTGAGAAATTTTATGTTGTCTATTCGCCTTTTTTTCCCAAATGTTTTAGAAAGGTAAACAGTACTTTATTTTTGCTTAATTTTTGCATTTTTGCGTCTCTTGTCATTTTCTTTTGTCAACAATATTGGCGTGTGGTGTTTTGTGCGATATCAAGAAAAGTATGTTCACAATTTAAAAAAAATACTTGAATGATGTCTTGGAAGAAACATGGGAATTTAGTGAGCGCCAGGGCACTTGATGACAAAGCTTCTGTGAAAGTTTGGTCAAAATCCATTGAGAAATGTAGGAGAAGTTGCGCACTGTAGAAATTGTTCACTATATATTCTGTATAAGGAAAAAATATACAAAGGGCCATAATTCGGTCAAAATTATTATCCAATCACAAAACCCCGACAATATGTGCCAGGCACTTGAAAACAAAGCTTCTAAGAAAGTTTGGTCAAAATCCGTTGAGAAATGTAGGAGGAGTTGAGCACAGAAGAAATTGTTTCTCTATATATTCTGTATCAGGAAAAAATATACAAAGGGCCATAATTCGGGGTCAAATATTATCCAATCACAAAACCCCGACAATATGTGCCAGGCACTTGATAACAAAGCTTCTAAGAAAGTTTGGTCAAAATCCGTTTGAGAAATGTAGGAGGAGTTGCGCACAGAAGAAATTGTTCACTATATATTCTATATAAGGAAAAAAAACAACGGGCCATAATTAGGTCAAATATATACCAATTGCAAAACCCTGGCAATATGTGTCAGGGCACTTGATGACAAAGCTTCTGAGAAAGTTTGGTCAAAATCCGTTGAGAAATGTAGGAGGAGTTGCGCACAGAAGAAATTGTTCACATATATATTTTTTATATAAGGAAAAAAAACAAAGGGCCATAATTAGGTCAAATATTATCTAATCGCAAAACCCCGACAATATGCGCCAGGGCACTTGATGACAAAGCTTCTGTGAAAGTTTGGTCAAAATCCGTTGAGAAATGTAGGAGGAGTTGCGCACAGAAGAAATTGTTTACGCCCGCCCGCCCGACCGCCCGCCGACATACCTCAATCTAATAACCAGTTTTTTCCTTCGGAAAACCTGGTTAAAAACTGTCAACGAAATGTTTCTAAAATAAAACCATGCAAATAAAATTCAAGCATAATACATTATACATGTGAGAATGCTATTTAGAATTGCTTCGTGTTATCATAGTGGGCATATAGACAATAAAATATAAGTCATTTGTATTTTTATTTCTTTTGGATCTGTCTCATTAAAAATATTTTTGGTTAAAATCATCAGCAATTAATAGTGTATTATTTATATTTTTTTATTTACAAGAGGCCAGAGGCACATCGGTTTTTATTTTAATTTAAATGTCACTTTAGCACTACAGTGTTTAGTTGTCCTTTTCAATTTCACACTAAATTCCATTTTCAACTTGTTTGCTTCTTACAATTGTATAGAATTTCTAAAAGTATTGCATGTAATCCGCTGGTTTATTACATCCCTAATCGCCTGTCCAAAAATCAGCACAGGTGAAGAAGAATCTATTTTTTAGAATAGCGATGTTAAGTCATATCGTGACCTAGAAAAATATGTAAACAAACCACAATAATCGGAAGTAGAACTGATATTATAACTTCCTTCAAGAAAGACTACATGGTGGTAAAAGTGTTGAAAACTCTCTTGTTACATGCATTTTCAAAAATAGATATTTATACTAACCATTGTACTGTATCTAATTTATTAATAACTGCTGAATATTCAGCTAAAACCCGCGGTATGAGTCACGAAAATAGTTCTTCTTTTATTAATGCGCGAGTTATTCTAGAGTCACGAAAAACTTTTGATTTGTTAAAGATTATGTTTTGTATAATGTAGAAATATTTATTTCCTACTAATAATTTCTTGGAACTCAGAGCTTACACTTTATTATAAGTATAATTTGCTGTCCTACTTTTTCGACAGCGGTAAATCGTTTCGGCAGTAATTTGCATATTGCGCAATAATACTACGGGACTACAACGTTTTTATCATTCATATACGTTCACATTTTAACTTGAATAACTTAATTTGAAACTGAAAAGGCTAAATATGGAAGATATTAAAATATCCCGACAAAGTATGGGAGTTTTTAAAGGATCAAATGCATGTACTATTTCTTGGGCTGTTAATCGGTTGAGGACACCTTGCGCGATTGTAGCAGACGAAATCCCATGTGTAGATGACTTAGCTCTGAACGTGCCTGAGGGCGCGTCCGTCGCAAAAATATAAAAATATTGCCTTTACCTTGGTGACCTTGACCCTAAAGACCTCAAGCCCCATACAAGGGTCAAAGTACATGCAAAGTATCAAATACCAGATTAGATAAGATATTCTAATGACGTTTATGTCCTGTGTAAAATATCTACTAGTATTTTTTTTTTTATATTTCGCTTTGGAAATCTACTTAAAGCTAGAGTCACCTGAATATGCAACAGAACAAAACCATTTAAACATCTTTGGAAGGGCCTCTTTCAAAAAATTGAAAAACATTCTTAGCAAATTTCTTTATAAATAAATGACTGTTTCACTTCATGAAGATATCATTTGAATAAACAGTGGACGATAAGAGACAAATAACAGACAGTCATAGATCATAATCACAAAGAATTATTTTTCAATATGTACATGTAAAATGCTGTTTGACTTGTTAAAAAGATAACTAGTGACACATGATGACAAAAGCTCCTATAACATTTCATTTCTTGATAAAAATCTGACGATTATAAGTGATATATCTCTAGTATTACACACCAATAAAACACCAATATATACAAACAACATGCCATTTATTTTCTACACATACCATAATACCCCTTATCTTGCTTTATATTTGGTAATGACTCAATTCTGCAGTAAATCTCACTATTTTCATAACTGCATAAAGTTTATAATTTATAAACTCAGCCAACTAAAGGTTATTATACAGTCATTTCCCTATAAAAGATTTTGACCAAGATTTAGTCTATAACAGTAAATGATTCAAAGAACAGTCGTCTAGCAAGCTTGATATTATTACTTAAAAGATTTTGACAGGTTATTTAGCTCAGTATAAACAGTGGGAAGCCTATATAACCAGAGCAACAGGTTCAAGGTTATATGGCAAAAGGCCATATAACATGTCAAAATGATAATATTCATAATGAATCTATAAGGCTACATCATTGCTTTCTTTTGTTAAAATACTAGAACATTATTACTAATTATCATCACAAATTTGAAGCAGCAGTGTAAAATAAGAAAAATAAATATCACAAATGCCCAATGAAAATGGATGTTATAAACATTCAGTATCATAAGTAGACAAAAATATTTTTAATTTAATATATGTATACAACTTTGCACTTGACACTAGAAAGCAACAAACACAAACAATCTTAATTATTTCACAGGTAATCTCTTTAATTTAAATTTTATAGACAAAAAGATTCAAATGAGTTTTCATACAATTATAAGTCTATGTCATCTAAGTGATCCGGGGGAAAGATTTGTATTACTTGAAGACGACCACAAGGTGAAGCTACATTTCTGTAAAGACTTTTCTTTAAATTTATGTGTGTATATTTAGTGATAGTGAAAATGGTGGAGAGTCACTTAAGAACTTTTTTTTTGAAGTTTGGTCAAAATCTGCCAAGAGGTTAAAGAGTAGATGCTAATCTAAATGAAGCATGGCAGAAAAAAAACCATTATGTATCACAAAAGCTCAGCTGTGAGTTATAGATTGTCCTCAGGTCATGAAGTGAGCTAAGTTTTCTGTAATGAAATATTTTGCTTTCAAAGTCAAGTTCTCTAAGATACTATTTTCAAAATTTTGATCACAGCCAAACATATACACATATCACTTACACATAATTTGTTCACAATAAAATAGACCATTGGAACAACAATTTTGCTCACACAAAAAATCAACATGAAATTGAAACAACAATTTTGTTAACAATAAAATACACGAGCATGACTGGAACAACTCACAGAGTCCATGTATTACAATATCCACATAAAAGTTAAATAAAACAGACAATATAAAATGGTTAATGTTTACATAAATGAATAAACTGACATATAAAAAATTATTTACAAGTAAAATATTAAAAGATTTCTATCTATTCAAAAATCTGAAAGACAATTATTTCTATAAACACTGGAACAGTTTTAACATAGGAACCAACACCGGGACATAGGTATGAAAAATAAATTTGACATTTAACTGTTACACTAATCTTCGTCTATATTCAAAAATTGTTCATCTAAAATAAAATGGGAAGATATTCTTTTAAAAAAGAAGATAGAAAAACCATCAGCTTGTTTCTCAATTATGAATAATTATTACAAGATAAAGATAATCATTTGTTTGAATGCTTAAAATTAAAATTTGTATTTTATGCACCTTAGTGAACTACATCCTTCATTAATATCAGCAAAGTAAAAGCTCTTTATGCAGATTACCGATTTTAAAATATCTGATATAAAAATAGTTTAAAACATCAAATATAAAGAAACATCTTAGTGACATACTAGCTGTTTCTATGACAACAAATTTAACGTGACATCATTTTATTTATAGGCATTTCATGGTTTATGTTAAAAAAACTTAAAATCGTATTTTAATATTTATGTTGTGACAAACATTTGTGATAATCAAACTGTACAGGTAAAATATTATATAACAGATATTCTATGTGTTCATCTGAGGCCCGTTTTCACAGATTAACATTCTGTCTAAAGTTAAATCCTCTGATTTTTTACAGCTGCTAGAATTCACCAACACCAAGTTTAAAGTGTTGCAGCATAAACAGCAAATTTTTCAAAGTAAGGGACCTCAACCCTACTATAAAGAACCCCATACTCTCAGTCAGAAAGACCCACCACTGACTAATTATTTGACTGTTCTCGTATACTAGTAATTAATTGTACATAAATACAAGGTAAAATGTAATAGTATAAAGGTAATCAACATGTACTTCAATATTACCGGGTAACATAAAAAGAAAACAATATTATCAGTGGTTGATAATTAAATGCTAAAAATCTCTCTTAAAATGTAGGAAAAAATGATCGTTTTTTTCTCTATATGAAGCACCTTAGAAACAAACACAAGTGGCATTGACTTGATTTTATCATTTATAAAAAACAATAAGATAATACTGACATTTGCCATATAAGTGACATTTTGCATTTCAACACTACAATTATTCAAATTACCAACTGTACTACAGGCAAAAAAAGAACACAATTACACATATGATATGGAATCCAAAGAAAAAATGTGTTCACATTACAAATGAAAATGACTGAAGTATAACTCTAGCCAGCTGAGAGATGTCTCCCTAGAGATCCAGAGATAACTTAACACTAAATATTCCCCGATTCCTAACAAATAGCCGCAGATCACATCAACTAAATGGTGACGACCCAGCATCACACGCGAAAAGGTTACGATGAAAGACCACAGTAGAGTGAATACTATCCATGTTGGAGAGTCTAAAGCACGAAGGGCAAAGAAGCAAGCCAACATTCCAGCCCTTGAAGCATGGCCTGATGGGAAGGAATAATTGTCTATTGATACTGTCACAAACATGTCCATCTCATTGTGTACTGGACGCGATCTTTTGAATGCCATCTTTGATATGCTGATAGCAATCAGATCAATAATGAGACCTGAAATTATAAATAATAACTTTTTTAATATTCATTTTTACACATATAATATTATATGTTATTTTGGCTTTGGAGTGATATATGTGGATATGTTACCTGCTAAGATTTTATATCACCCGAGCCGTCAGGCGAGGGTGATATTTTATCTTGGCAGGTAATATATCCACATATATCACTCCAAAACCAATATAATAATTTTATTACCCTTCCCCTGCCGAGTTTAGACGATTTTTTAAAAAATCATTGCTGTTTCAAATGAAACGTCGAAATAAGATTCCCTTTAGGGTACCTCTTCGTCACAACATGACGTCACATAAATACATGACGTATTTTTCCCGTTCCTAACGAATGTAAACAAGAGAAAAGGAGTAGTCTATTGAACAGAACTCACTTTTTTGTAATTAATTTCAAGCTTTCACAAGGTTATATTTGTTTTCAATACTGATGGTAATATGTATCATTACTCTACTTTGGTAAATATTTATCATTTGACAGTTAAAAAGTGCTTGTAAATCGGAATTTACACCGCGTAAAATCGAACCGTACGCGCATCACCTCAGCCCATGTTGTTTACAACGTTGGGTACCCAACGGGAAAATTTAGTGTGTATATTACCCGTCTGGCTCGGTGATATCAATTTCTTTCGGGTGATCAATATCCAATCAAAAAGGCGGAAAAAATCTGGAAGGGTAATATTATTATATATTATAATTATTAATGTATATTGTAATAAAATTTATACACAATGGTACTTATTCCATCTGGAAGATTATTCTGTCGATTGACACCATAAAAAAAACAGTAAACTTGTGTAAATTTAAATGTTTTAATTGGCTTTAAAAAGATACATTGGATCTGTGTTTCTGTCTGGTAGTCTGCAGTCTTTATTGAGGCTTGATGGTATTTTATTTTTAATTCATGTGTTTATAGAATAAAATTAATATGATGACCGAGACTGAGATAAACTACTTGCCTTAAAAGTTGCTGAGAATTAAGTCAACATTAAAAGTTGCTGAAAATACAGGGTGAAAAAAAAAGAAATAGTCCAGACAGACCGGGACTAGAACCCGAGAACCTTGAAATACCATATGGCAGCTCTATCGACTGAGCTATCTGGCCATTTACACACTATCACCTCTAAATAGTGAACGGTTTTCAACCATGACATACTCCCCCGCAATACTGAAATTTGTTTTTGAATTTTTTATGGGTTTCAAAGAACAATGTAAAATAAACTTGAAGCTTTGTACCATTACAGTCCCCCGTTGGGCGCTAATTGTTACAGGGTGAGAAAAATGTGCAGCCTGACTGGAACTCAAACCCCAAACCCTCAAAATACCAGCTGTACGTCGGATTTACCAACTTAATTAATAGTTATTTTGCGGCGTCCACACTATTTTACCTAAAAAGTGAACAGTTTTAAACCATAACACCAAGATTTTAACAATTTAGTCTGACCCCAATTTTACTTACCATAGAACAGATTAACAAGCAATTCTATGTGATGTGCTTGGTGGACTGATAATATTAAAACGATTGTTGCAAGAAGCCATGGTATACCATGACAAGATATCTCTAACAGCTTCATTACAGGTCTGAATGTGGAGTTCTTATCTGCAAAAACTGCGCACTTGCTGGTATATTCCTCGTCCCATTGTAAAAGCCCTTCCAAAATGTTGTTGCCACTTGACTGTCCAATACAACGCTGCTTAGTTTTGATTTCTGAAGTTCCATTTGTAGTTGATTCGTTTTCTTTACCGTTTTGTTTGTTTCGTTTACTCATCTTGATGAAGCGAGGAACTATTGTAAATTATATCTGTCAAATTCGTCAAATTTTTGTGTTGTCAAATCAATAACTATAACGGAAGTAGGGAAATCCACTTGCTTTAGAATTTTGGGTAATGTTTCTAAATATAGCCGCAAGACTTGGCAAATAAAACCATAAAATATATATCAAAGTGCGCGAATAACTTTCGCGCTTCAGCCACGCGTGACGATATCATTGCAAAATGAAACTATTTCTAAATCTCGAATATTCAAGAATAGTGTCTAGCAAAATTCAGCTTTGTATGCAAAATGTTAAAGTTTAAAGATCCTACCACTATTAATAACTGCACATTGTTCTTTTATCCTAAGTATAAAATCCAAATATATATATTTACACAAAAATGATCATTTATTTCTTCTGTTATACAATTAACATGGATTTCCTTCAGCGCCCGAAGAAATTATCAAATTATAATGAAATACCTCTATAAAAGACGTTAAAAATTTATGACTTAACACGTTCAATATATAATAAAGAGCTAATACAAACTTAAACAAATACGACATGCAACTTATATTCTTTTGCAATATTCACAGCGCAGCGTGGTTTTGTGATTCGTAATTCTATCAAATGACACAATTTCGATATAATTTAAAGAATTAAAATAATAAAATATCTACTTAGTAACAGCCTCTTTAAAACAGGTTTTTGCTAATTTTTGCTAACGTTTGATTTAACTTCGATTAATTTAATAAATCTAGGCTTATGCAAAAGGCAGTGGGATTCATCCTATCAAATTACCTTCGGTGAAAATTATTTATTTTGTTTTATTTCAGTGTAAGGACTCACTATCAAGTGTTCACATGCAAACTACTTTTTTTGGGATGAACTATATGTGCGAGCATATAAAATTTCCCCTAACCCATAACGCTGCCACTGTCAGGAGACGTTATGCCAGATGGAAGAAGCAAAAACTGTTGACGTCACATTAAATTGTCATTGGTCAATATGCCTTCTCTTCGGCGTCGTCAAATAAATAACGACGTTTGACGTCGTAACCAAGTCAGCGTCGTTACTTCCGCCCTGAAGTTAATGGCGATGAACAGAAAATTTTCTTGTCTTTATTTTTTATAAATAGCAGAATTTGCGTCCAAATGGCTCAGAGGGGGCCTAGTGACCAAACCGACATGGGCAATATCAATAAACCTGCTATAAAACCCGGCCGATTAAAAGATATCCATCAGAAAATAAGGATTCTCAACTTTAGAACGCTGATAGACAACCTTCCAACATCTATAGACGAAGGATCTTCAACTGTTCTCAAATACAAGACTCCAAACTTTAGGTAAGACCTGTTCTGTTAGGTTTTCAGATTGATTCCAGTAGATGTTGTAGTCTTGAAAAGTTTAGAAATAGCAAATAACGCTCGTTAAACTTATGAACCATCCAGTTTCAACTAAGGTTAAATAACAATTAATAAGATATAAGACGAAATTTTGTCATCCGCACACGAATATTACTTTATTCAATATGTCTTTTTATTCACAGGGCTAGCGCGACAGTCGAGATAGCGCCAATGCCTGATAATCACAAATATAAGATAGGTTGGATTCAAGCTTGTACGGACATGATGTTTCACAACACATATTCTGACGAGGGATTGTAAGTTCCATCATTGAACTTTAAATATTTCCACAAGTTTTATATACTTGAACTACTTAAGTTAAACATCCTGATAATATATATGATAACGAAATAACCATCACTTTTTCAGGCTTAATATTAAAGGCACATTATGCCTCAGAAACGAATTAGTTTTTGTCTTTAGAAATATATCGTTTAAATAATGGTTTTAGGGCAATTAAGATGTTAATCACCTTAATTTTTTTTTCGTTATAAAAGTAGCAAAATGTAAAACAAAATAGTATTTTTACTTCCATACAAAATACTAAACCGCTTTCTTTTTACTAATTCCAAAAATAGCAAGAGAAGCAAAAGATGTTTAATTAAGTTAATTGGCCAGTGAGTAACATTTTGGAAACTATAACATGTTACATTTTAACAAAAAACTGAAAATAAAAGCATTCCCCACCCCGAGACAAAATGGACATTTTAATTGGACTGAGGATACGGCTTTATGTTTAATATTTACATCTTACTACTTTCAATATAGATATACCATGCAAGTAATAAATACGTACATATTTTCAGTATGGATTGCATTGCATTCCGCTGTATTTATTATATAGTATTTCATATAAAATGCTTTGGAGAAATTTCTTTTCAAATGCATTCCAAATTACCTTTCTTAGTATCACATAGATCATAGGATAGCCCGACATCTTAGCAAAAGAGTTTTTTTTCAAAATGCTATGCCTTTTAAATAACATAGACATTTATATACGTCCAACTTATTCTTCTCTTCCAGCACAAGTTGGGAATTCCCTGAACTCACTTCCGGTGCCCAGAATATGATAAGCGACTGCGACGGACATCATTACCCATGGTATGGCTCGAGGAATGAAACTGTTACCTTTGATGGTCCATGCAAGATGTACCAGACTGCTACCGTTACCATGAACGACAATTTCCATCCTCACGTGACATGGCGGAATCCATCCAACAGAAATCAAGGTATCCTATCTGTGAATTTTTTTTCCTTTTTACAAAAAAAAAATCCGTCCACTCAGGATTTCCCCCAAGAGTGATTTTTGATAATGGATTTTGTGGTTATCTCGAGTTATTGGCAAGTCGTTTATAGTGATTAAATAGTTTGTGCTTTTATCAAATCTTAATAATCGTTTCTTATATGCGTGCTGAAATTACCATATGTTTATCTAACTAATTATACTGAAATTCAAGTCTATATAAAAATAAAAGTATTTTTTTCTGTGCTATTTTTACCAAGTATTATCAATACCTCTCTTTCGTTACGTCACCAACACAGGGACCACAATAGGGTGTTCGTGTGCACGTCATGTTGATCGTGCTTATGCTGTGTTATGTTTAGTTAACTACAGGTTGTTATTGTTCCATGAATGTACATAGTGCCAAAATAAATCTTAATTGTATCTTATTTTGCCAATGTATAAAACATTTTTATCACACACCCGTGCCGATTTTGCGACTCCGTAAATATAGTATTGCACGGCCGTGCATATATTTTGACGTGACGTAATTAGCGTTATACAAACATAGTGTACAGACGCGCTAAATGTTAGCGTTATACTGTAAGCGAGTCAATGAAAAATGACTCTTATTTCACTTTAAACGGTCTTTATTTTGGGTATGTGATAAATAGAATATTAAATTCGTGTTAGTTCATTACTGAATTTATTGCACTCGTTGAATAAAATAATATTATGCTCGCCAGAGGCTCGCATATTATTTTATTCAACTCGTGCAATAAATTCAGTATTGAACTTACACTCATTCAATATCCTCTATCTATCATACATTTTCTGTTTTCAGGTCCACCAAACTTGACACGTATTGCACGTGATCAGAGCTTCTATGTGTGGCTGGTCGTCTGGGATATGACTTTACAGAAAGCTTACATCTTGAAAACAATCATGTGGAACATGAAACTGGACATAGAAGTCGACCCTAATAAACCTTTAGGTAATTTTTGTGTTGTAGTGTGCAACTAAATCATTCAGATTTTTCAAACAAAGACCTAGTTATCTCCCCTGATATGCTATTTATAAGAGTAAGCTCCCCTGATATTCTGTAAATACCTTTAAAATAAACAGTTCCAAAGTTTTGCATTTCCACCTTAAGTTAATTCCTTTGACATTCTGTTTACAATTTAAATCTACAATTTGAAAATCTCTCCAAACATGATTTTGTAAATATGTTTACCATATTGAGTAGCCTCCCCTTACATTCTGTTAATATCTATTCTCAAGTCGTCTTACATTCCCAGAAAGCATTTCGCAAATTGAGTTGTTTCCCCTAACATTCTGTTTACATCTTTTCAAGAAAGCATTTCTCAAGTTGAGTGATCTCCCCTGACATTGGTATAATCCATTGTGTTTTTATTCACAGGTCAGCGAGCCAAGCTGGTGAGCAACCCAGTGCCCAAACAGCCTACTATTCTTGATGATATAGTCCCTATCCCACGCTGCGCACTTATGCCACCCAACGCTAACAGCGCCCAGATGTTAGTCTGGCGTCCCAGGATTGGTAAACCAATGTGTATCATACCACCAGTATGGAAGAAAGATGTACCAATTGAAAAACAAGTTCCAAGATATGACAGCAAATTATGTCGACTTTAAATTTTTCTAATTTTGTTTTCCAAAAAACTTTACATCAAAATTCTGTGATATCTTTTTTTTAAAACAAAGTCACCAACTAATCTAACTTTTTTTGTGTAATAAAAACTTTCTGATTTTATAACCAGCTTTTGTTCTTTTCTTTTGTTTCCTTTTTTAAATTTTGCCAGAAATATTGATAAATTGATCAGAAATTGCCACTGAAATGAGACAAAACTTATTATGGACAATATATACTGGTCTGGAGGTACAAGCACAAGTTGGACTTTGTGCTAATTTCTTTGGATTTATAATAAACAGCCATCATCTTGTTAAGTCAATTTTTTTTGTTGAAAATGGTATTTTATTAGGAGAGGAGTGTTCATTATATAATTTACAAGAAGTTTATAAGTAACGATGGTCAACACATGGTCATATGACATATTTTTATTTCAATTTCACAAGTAAGATCTTTCAAGTTAGTATCACAAGAAACTTATCACTAAGAAAAATTGAAGTTCCAATTTAGAACATAACTAATACAAAATTTTAATGTATCTGTGAATTATTATTCAAATTTCAACAAAAAATCACAATGTAACATTATTATCAAACTTTATTTTTGCAGTTTTCAATTCAACCTTTAAAGGAACCCAAAAGAAGGGAAAACATATTTTCATGATCAATAAAAAGTCAAAAGAGAGGGAAAACAATAACTGTCACACAGGTGTACACTTAAAATGTCTCAATTCATGATATTTCTTTCTATCCAAAGGAATTGCTTTCTGCTTTCAGCCTCTGTAGCCAGTAAATGACGGGCTTGCCCTGTAAAACATATTGAAAATGTGGTATTTTTTATTTGTTTCACATCACACTGACACTGTAATGATCACATGACAACTTTCCAGCTTTACAGTTTTCAGTTGTGCATTACACAATAGTTAAAATAATTACATGTGTCACAGGGTGAGAAAAATGTGCAGCCTGACCGGGACTCGAACCCGGGACCTTCGGAATACCGTTCCGCGGCTCTACCGACTGAGCTATCCGGCCGCTTACACATCTCCTCCCCTAAATAGTGAACAGTTCTAAACCGTGACATATGTATAAAGTTTTTCCAACATACAATTTAAATACAATTGAATGGTTTATTGATATAAACAAGTGATGTCTAATAGAACAATGTTGATATAAAAATCTTTAAGAAATTTGAAATTATATTCTATCATAAGGCATACTATACGTAATAATCGAATAGAATTATTTCACCAGGAACAATTTCGTTTCACAACCAATTCATTAACTTCATCATTATACAATGGGAGTGGTAGCCCAGTGATTAAGGTGTCAGCCTCTCAACGGTTTCGGGCTAGAGCCATGCTGAATTATGACCATATTTCCATGGCAATGGTACTGGTAGCAGACCCAAGAAGGAATCAAATAAAGTGCAAGCTGTCTTCACAATGAAATTAACATACCTATGATTAAATGAATTATAAATCATTTTACATGTATATTTCAGATACACATGTATATGACATACATGTATATGTAAAGTACTTACCCAAATGAAGCATTTCCTCCAAATCCTGCAACAAGAGGAAAACAATATGTTAATTTCAAATGACATGTACTAATTTCAAATACACTGTGTAAAATTGTAAAGATGTGAATGATGTAGTGAATAACACAATCCCAAGCAGCATCCACTAGTATAGCACATTGTGTCAGCTTTACTTGACTATATATTACCAGGTCTGAATGCATATTTATGCTGTATGACTAGAGCTCTATTTTACTGCCTGCTTATTTTCATACACTTACATTAATGCTTTGGTTTAAAAGCTCTTATAATTTACAACTTAAAGGAGAACCATTCCATTCCATAAATTCTGCAAGATAATGGATAATTACTGCTGAAAATGCCTGGATATGAATTATCCAGCAAACCCATGTTTCTACTTATATTCAGCTGACCTCAGATGCTGCATAAAATAATCACATTAATTTTTCTCCATATTACTATTAGCATAAATATGTAAAAATAGCTGAAATTAAAATAAACATACCCTTAAAATTCTATGACTCCAAAGACAAAAATTACCCAATAAATAATAAATATTTCAGTTTCAAGACACGAATAATTATTTAAACAAGATACCTCCAGTATCTGGTGGTGATTGACCAATGGAACCAAAGTTTGGTGCATCAGTAGACTGGGCAAGTGCTCCAAATGTTGGACTGCTGCTGCCTGCAAACCTGTATGTTATGATGTAATATTGCTTAATAATGTTATATAGTTCATAGTTAGTTACACGAAAAACAATATTTGCAGCAGAATATATTTAAACCTATAACTACATATATGTATTATTGTTTAACTAGAAATGAGTACATAGAAAATAAATGCCCCCCGCATTTCACTGTTTTGTCAGTCTACAGACAGACAGAGTGACAACAGGACACCTAGAGAAATGTACAAGGGTTAATCTATATGTCCCCAACCCATCAAGTGGGGACATAAATATCAGCAAAGGTTTAGTGCATTGCACTTTATCCTTTTCATGACTTGTTTTTTTTTTCTTTAATTATTTTATATCGAACACTACTACAAATACGCATATGATAATCTAAAGCCCCAGTCACATTAGAGCTTACGACCAGTGAAGACCAGTTCACGATCACCAGTGACCTCTGGTCACGGACAATCTTTAAAACGTCTTACAACGGTCATCGGTGATCTTTGACAGTCGCAGGTTATCTTATTTAGGTCCCATGACCAATTTCAGTCGTAGAGAGGTTTTTGAGCTTGCACAAAAACCTCCTTGCCATCAAACAGGTCGCTAGTGATCTTATAAGGTCTTCAGGCTGTCGCACGATGGTCGTTCGGAAGTGCGACAATCTTATGACAGTCTTTACAAATTGCCACTAGTCACTGATAATCTTAAGTAGTCTTTAGTAATCGTGTGATGGTCGTACGACAAGTTGTAGGTGATCGCATGTTATGTCACGGGTAGTCGTAAGTAATCCCAGGCAATCTTGAGACCATCGTATGTTTACTTATGACCTGTCGTGCGATTGTCAATGATGACTTGTCTTACGATACTCGCAAACGTAAATTTATCTGTGAAAAAATGGTTTTGGTCGCAGACAATCGCTGATGATTGTCAGTTTTACAAGTCGCCGGTGGTCGCAGGTAATCGTAAGCTCTAGTGTGACTGGGGTTTAAGCTGTTTCACTATTACTACTAATTAATACTAAATGTATATTTTTTTTACATTTTTTTTCTTTAATACCAACATACTTCTTTACAACATACTGCTTTATACATAAGGCAAGGAAATTTTAAGCTGTAAACTAATTGTAAGTTTAAATATATCTATTTAGACTGACTATGAAACAAATTCCAACAACTTGTAAGAATATATTTTGAGTTTGCTCACAATGAACTTGATCACTATTGATATAATATGAGAAAATATGGTGATGAGAAGTAAGGCTCAAACTTAATATCCCTCGGTTGAGATGTATGAACCCTTGCAACTACTTCACTAATAAATAATCTTATGTTAATATAGTTAATGTAACCCTTTATTATTAGTGAAAACAAACTTTCAAGGCAAATTTCAACCATTTACAGAGATTTAAAAAATAACTCAATAATTTACACATATTAACTATTTACCCTGCAAATCCAGCCCCTTCACCAGCTCCCTGGGCAACTGATCCAAACGTTGATGCACCAGGCGAGCCAAAACTAGGTGCTGATCCAAACCCACCCTGTGTGCCTCCACTCCCAAAGGCTGGAGCCGTGCCAAAGGCTGGGGCACTGCCAAATCCAGGCGAGCCTCCAAATGCAGGTGTACTGCCAAAAGCTGGTGCAGCTCCAAATCCACCTATGTGACATAAAGTTACATTTTAAACATAGCTTTCATTAATTTATCACACACCATGCCGATTTTGTGACTCGGTAAAAATGGTATTGCACGGCTGTGCATATATTTTGACATGACGTCATTAGCATTATACAAACATAGTGTAAAGACGCGCTAAATGTAAGCGTTATATTATAGGCGCGTCAATGAAAAATGACTGTTATTTCACTTTAAACGGTCTTTATTTTGGGTATGTGATAAAAATAATATTAAATTTGTGTAAGTCCATAACTAAATTTATTCAGAGGCTCGCATAATATAATTTTATTCAACTTGTGCAATAAATTCAATATTGAACTTATACTCATTCAATATCCTGTATATATTTCCAACTTGTGATGCAATTTTTTTAAAGAAAATATGGTTGGTTTTCAGTTTAGTTGAAAATCATAAGACAGGCACTGGAATATTTTCTTGTTACCAGATTTATTTTTTTCATTTTAAAACAGCAAACATGTTTTTTATTACAAACAAAAATCTTGGAAAAAGTATTTTTTTAGGATTTTTAGTAACATATATTTTATATTTCATTTATTAAGTTGGGTTTATGAAAGTATTAACATTATTTAAATCACTATATCTGATCACAGTCTTGAAATATATTTACTGCTAAATGCACATAAATTATTTCAAATTTCAGAAGAAAATGTAGGACAAATTGCATTAGACATGTTTTCTTTATTCAAACTGTCCAGGGCCTGAACTGACAAACCCAATATTTGTAGACCTAATTATAATAATTTTTATTCAATGTTGTATATACCTGCACCAGTCTGAGGTTTAGCCGCCCCAAATCCCGTAGACGCCACACCAGTTCCACCAGAAAATCCACCTCCTCCAGAAAATCCTCCACTTGTACTGGTTCCCCCTCCAAATGTTGAGCTGGAACCACTTCCAAACAATCCTTGAGCTACAAAATGAATATGAAAGAAATAAGTTCTATTGATCAACTTATACTTAGATTTATATACCTTACCAAAACATATTTTTTCCTTCCCTTTTGTTAATGTCAGAATGGTATTTTTTTCTTACAACATTAATGGACAGTTTACATTTATAAACAGAATTTTATCAATCATATGTTTTGTATATCAAACAGAACATTTTGTCCTTTTCCAGCTACCTAGTTTGTATTTTTTGCTGTTGGGTTTTACATTGCACAAACACAGTAGAGACCATATGGTGACTATCCAGCTTTACAGATGCCTCCCTTAAACAGTCACTATGCACTATTTCAGGTACAACCTGAGTAGTTTCACCAATTCCATAAGTATATAAACTAGTTGGATAGCTTCTGCAGACTAATTTTTTAAAATCTCTGGGAAGATTTGAACCTATAGCCAGTGAGAGCCAAGTGGTTTGAAGTCAAAAGACCTTATCCACTAGGCCTCAAACAATGAATATTTCAACTATAATAGTACACATGAAGTCAAACTAGTAACAGAACGTTTAAAGGTTGTCAGACAATAAGATGGGTCAAAGGACCGAATTAAGATATTTTATGACAAGTCAGCTGTGTTTCATTTCAATTCAGTTCAAATTTTCTGTTGTCTAAAACATTAAAACATATAAATAATCATATCTCTCCCTCAATAATCTTATCATTTCAATGAACAAAATACATGGAATGATTTATTACTGTTAGACTGCGATGACCCAAATGATTGAGCTGTTCCAAATACATTAGTGTTGGCCTTCTCAGCACTGGGTTTCCCACCTAAACCACTAAACATTCCACCATTCCCACCACTGTCTGAACTTGACTGACCAAATGGAGAACTTGTGCTGTAAATAAAAATAACATCAGTATCTTAAAATTATTAGTGTTGTAACTTATAACAAAGTCTAAATTGTGGTAAAGATCTAACTGTTAAAATAAACTACAACAAGAGCACCGCTAGGCGGAGCATTATATGCCCTAAAGTGATTTTTTTTTTTTAGTAAAGATGAAGCATTTGTAAGACATTGGAATTAAATAAAGTATTACCTCCTTCAAATAACAATCCTCCTATGAAGTTCGAATATTGTGGTCCAAATGGAACATAAGTTATGCCCCGGAAACTGTTTTCAGTTTTAAGGTAATAGTGCCCTTGACCTTTGACCTTGTGACCCCAAAATTAATAGGGGTCTTCTACCCAATATGGACAGTCATCCTATGAAGTTTGAACACTGTGGGCCAAATGGAACTTAAGTTATGCTCCGGAAACTGTTTTCAGTTTTAAGGTCATAGTGGCCTTGACCTTTGACCTTGTGACCCCAAAATTAATAGGGGTCTTCTACCCAATATGGACAATCATCCTATGAAGTTTGAACACTGTAGGCCAAATGGAACTTTAGTGATGCTCCGGAAACTGTTTTCAGTTTTAAGGTCATAGTGACCTTGACCTTTGACCTTGTGGCCCAAAGATCAAGAGGGGTCTTCTACCCAATATAGACAATCATCCTATGAAGTTTGAACACTGTGGGCCAAATGGAACTTAAGTTATGCTTCAAAACTGTTTTCATTTTAAGGTCATGTGGCCTTGACCTTTGACCTTGTGACCCCAAAATTAATAGGGGTTTTCTACCCAATATGGACAATCATCCTATGAAGTTTGAACACTGTGGGCAAAATGGGACTTAAGTTATGCTCCGGAAACTATTTTCAGTTTTAAGGTCATAGTGACCTTGATCTTTGACCTTGTGACCCCAAAATCAATAGGGGTCTTCTACCCAATATGGACAATCATCCTATGAAGTTTGAATATTGTGGGCCAAATGGAACTTAAGTTATGCTCCGGAAACCAAATTGCTAAAGGACGGACTGACAGACGGATGCCAGGGGATATAACATAATATGCCCGAATTTCTTTCGAGCATATAAAAACTTCAATATCCTACAATCTTGGTGTTTTCATACACTTACAGTCATGTTTTGAGTGAATTTAAGCAAACACTGTCTTTGTGTTACTCAATTATTTAATGCATATGAAGCATATATGAAAAGAGAGAAAAAATATTCAACTGCTATATTTAGTAGGTCAGGTATTTTGCTCAAGTGCTAATTGCTTAAATAGAAATTTACAAACCTAATTCATTCTATTTAGGTACTTTTGGTAGGATTTTTAACAAAAAATACAAATTAACATTCTACCTAAGATACAAATGTAGTTCACCAAACATAGTTTTATACAATTTATGACACATTTTGGTTAAATAAAGAAACCCTTTCCATACCAATTACATCTCCAATTGGTGAAATTCATGTTGTTTATTTTTAATAATGCATCAACTCAGTACAGGTCACATGGTGACAATCCAGCTGTACTAGTGGAGAAAGACATTAGATGCCCCTTCTGTACATTATTCCAGGCACAAACATGGCACCTGAGAGGAACTACCGGTACTGTCATAAGTAAAGAGCTTTGATCATCTTTATGAATTTTAATGAATGAAAATGTCTTTAAATTACAAAATACTGAAGTGAAACAATGACATAACAATTATTAGATACAATTTCAGATAGAATCACTCAGTTACCTTGGAGACTGTCCAAACCCAGAAGACTGTCCGAATGCTGGTTTTCCAAAGCCTGGTGTTGATGTCTGTCCAAATCCAAACCCAGAACCTGATGTTGCCGTGCCAAACCCTGACCCACCAGCTGAGCCAAACAAACCACCACTACTTGTAGATGTGGACTGTCCAAATAATCCACCTGATGTTGATGTAGAATGTTGACCAAACAACCCTGTGCCTGTAATGGAAAAATAACTTAAGTTCTATCTACATTTGTACATATTGACAAGACTAGTATTGTTCAAAGAGTCCCCGAGACCGAGGGGACAAGGCCATTCACTTTGACACACTTGCCTTTCTGTCCCCACCACCCCCACATTCCATCACAAAAATTATGTATACTTATAACTTTCATTAAAATCTAAATATCTCAAAAGTTTGCAGTTTAAAATGGCATGTAGCCTTTAACTGATTCAAGATATAATAATAAGGTAAAAAACATTGGATTAATTTCGTTTCTGTTGTATGATATATACTCTTGGATAAAAACCCTGGTGTCTATTTCATTTGCCAACAATTTATAATTTTACTTACTGGAAGATGTAGTCTGACTACCAAAGAGTCCCCCTGACCCACTTGTTGATGTCTGACCAAACAGTGATCCTCCTGGTTGTCCAAATAAACCTTAAATGTTTAATTATATTTTACATGTTTATAGGGTATACAGATATAAAGTTGTTGTCAGTTATTAGCAGAATGAATGTTTGTTCACTAGATAAGAATCATATCAAAGCAGCTGACATTAATGAATAAGAAACAAAGCAAACTTAGTATTATTTACTTGAATACATTACTTTGCCAATTAGAGTTAAGGTTAGGACAGTTATAATCACTTTCATCATTTAAGGTTTAATATTTATCCTTTTTTTTTAAAGAGATAAATATAAATACTAACCAGTTCCAGAAGCTGGAGTCTGACCAAAGAGACCTCCACTTCCAGACGTTGTTGTTGTTGTCTGACCAAACAAGCCAGACCCTGACGAAGATGTACCTGACGTTTGTCCAAACAAACCAGATGCAGTTGAAGGTGTACCAGATGTCTGACCAAACAAACCAGTAGATGTTGTTGTCGTTGTTGCTTGACCAAATGTACTACTACTGCTTGCAGGAGCAGCGGACACACCAAATGGACTGGTTCCAACAGTTGTTGATGTCTGACCGAACAGACCGGTTCCCGAAGATGTTGCTGTCTGACCAAACGGACTGGTTCCCGTGGTAGTTGTTGCAGTTTGACCAAATGGACTGGTTCCCAAAGATGTTGCTGTCTGACCAAACAGACTGGTTCCAGAAGTTGTTGCTGTCTGACCAAACGGACTGGTTCCCGTGGTAGTTGTTGCAGTTTGACCAAATAGACTGGTTCCCAAAGATGTTGCTGTCTGACCAAATAGACTGGGCCCAGTGGTGGTCGCAGTTTGCCCGAACAGACTACTACCTGAAGTTGTATTCTGACCTTCAGAGCTATTTGACGTCTGTCCGAATGGTGCTACAATTGCTGTTGTAGCAGTTGTACCTGAAGATGTTTGCCCAACTTCTCCTCGGTCACTAGATGTCGTTGATGTTACAGCTGATGACTGGTCATCTGACGTGGCAGTTACAGGTGTGCTTGTCTGTCCAACAAGACTTGTCGAACCTGCAGATGCAGTAACTGATTTTCCAAATAAACCTGAGCCAGAAGTCCCCGCTTGGCCAAATAAATTTTGCATAGGTTTACTTACTGATGTGGGCTGACCAAAACTACCAGTAGATGAAACTTGCGGAGTGTTTTCCTCCGATTCCTCAGTTGCCTCAACAGGCGATGTCACAACAGAATCTGACGGATGACCAATCACAGATGATCCTGAACTAGGTATTTTTCCAAAGATTCCTTCACTGGCTACTTTAGTTGTAGAAGATTGTCCAAATGAAAGAGCAGGAGCTGGTGTTGTTTTGACTTGACCAAATATGCCTGAACTGGTACTGGCAGTAGTTGGCTGACCAAACTGTACAACCGGCTTTGTTGATGTGACAATAGTTTCTATAGAAAGTGTAAAAAGTAGCTTACAGCTTCCATTAACAAGTGATTTTTTATAGTCCATAATGCCCCGCAATTGCTTATATCTTTATTTCTTAAAAGCACTTTATGTTTAGTGCCTGCTTTAGTTTTTGAAATTATGAAAGTGCTGCCATTCTTTTTGGAAACCCTGTAGAATATTGCCAAATTTTTAAAAAAGAATTTCTAAAATACACGTTTTCAGCATAGATATGACTTTTTGACTGTATTTTTACTATTGACATAGACCAGTATAAATAGACTTAAAAGATGTTTTAACACTTAAATTGAAAGACAACCCTTACTCAATTTAAATTCACTTTAAACAAGGGTGCCATAGTCACAAAATACGCCCGTTTACGAAAAAGCTTTAGATGGAGATGGGTAAGTGTTATCTAGCAAGCAAGTTTTTATTCTTGGCACTGTGTTGTTAAAAGAACCTTAAAACAAATCAATAGGGAAGATATGCACAGAATGTGTGACCTTGACCTTGGTCGCAGGGACCTGAATTTTATGCACGGCACTCAGCCTCACAATGATGAACATTTGTGCCAAATTATATTGAAATATCTCTATGCATGTAGAAGTTTTGCTCCAGACAAGTGTTTTTCTATGAGCTCTAACTGTGACCTTCACCTTTGACCTAGAGACTTGGTTTATGTGCAGGGCACTACGTCTCATGGCGGTGAACAATTCTATAAAAGTAACATTAAAATTCCTCCATGCATGTAGAAAATATGCTCCGGACAACATCTGGATATTTAATCATCTCCAGTGACCTTGACCTTGCAAATATTAACCTAAATTAAATGTGTAACACCTGTAGTCATGATAGTTACCATTTGTGCTACAATCCATCAATAAATGATGACTAAATGGTCCCTATAACCATCTTCAAATTTTTATCTGAACTTTGACCTCTATGTGTAACCTTGACTTTGGTCGCAGGGATCTGAATTTTGCATGCGACACTCAGCCTCACAATGGTGAACATTTGTGCCAAGTTATATTGAAAACCCCCTATGAATGTAGAAGTTTTGCTCCGGACAAGCGTTTTTCAATGAGCTCTAAGTGTGACCTTGACCTTTGACCTGGAGACCTGGATCATGCATGGAGCAATACATATCATGGTGGTGAGCATTTCCATAAAGTATTATAAAAATTCTTCCATACATGTAGGAGATATGCTCCAGACAAAATCTAGATATTTCACCATCTTTAGTGACCTTGACCTTGCATATATTGACCTAAAGTACATGTGTCACAGCCATAGTCATTATAATGACCATTTGTGTTACAATCCCTCAATAAATGATGATTAAATCGTCCCTATACACATCTTCATATTTTTATCTTTTTTTAAACGGGCGTATAAAAAGTACATGTAATTTAATAACTAAAAAATTCTGATTTAAGATTTTATTCTAGGGAAATACATTTCATTACAATTCTTAATCTTTGAATGAGCTGAACTGATATTTACTTGAAAATTAAAATATAATTAAATTTCTATGAGAAAGTATTTACATTTGATAAGGTAATTACTGTATGATCTTTATGAACAAATACCAAGTCTACAGAACACCATAGTTATCACAGTTAAGTATCTTGACCAATGAATGAAACATGTGTAAATAAATGTTACATTCTTTACAACATACTCAAGTCCAAGAAAGAGGAATATTTCATGCCCTTTGATTAAATTCTATTTTTAGAAAATAGATCAAGGGGAGTAATTGTGTAAGTCATTTATGAACAAAGTAATAACTTTGTTGTCTCCCTTTGATTAAATTCTATTTACAAAATCTGGATATTTCATCATCTTTAGTGACCTTGACCTTGTATATATTGACCTAAATTATATGTATCACAGCCATAGTCTTGATAATGACCATTTGTGTTACAATCCCTCAATAAATGATGACTAAATGGTCCATATACACATCTTCATATTTTTATCTGAACTTTGACCTCTATGTGTGACCTTGACCTTGGCCGCAAGGACCTGAATCTTGCACGCGACACTCCGCCTCACAATGGTGAACATTTGTGCCAAGTAATATTGAAATCCCTCTATACATGTGGAAGTTTTGCTCCGGACAAGCATTTTTCAATGAGCTCTAAGTGTGACCTTGACCTTTGACCTAGAGACCTGGTTCATGTGTGCGACACTGCTCCTCATAGTGGTGAACATTTTTTTGAAGTTTCATGAAAATCCCTCCATACATGTAGGAGATATGCTCCGGACAAAATTGGACGCCGCCCGCTCGCCCGCCCGCCCGACCGCCCGCCAGGGGCGTTCCCATAATACGTCCCGTTTTTCAAACGGGCGTATAAAAATCCATCTGACCCTTGAACATTACTATATTCTTTCTTTTTCCTTATTAACAGAATAGGTGTATCACACTGTAAATTGACTTAAACTAGAAATGTGTCCATAGGACACGGGTGCCCCCACTGCGCCACTGTTCTGTCAATCTTTTTACTAAGTCAAGGGAAATAAATCTACAAATACTGGATAAATCCACAAGCGAAACCCCAGGTGCAAATCTAAAATATGCTGAGCAACCTGCCCATAAGGTTTAATAACTATGTCAAATCCTTTTTGAGAAACTAAGTGAAGGGCAATTACTCTAAAAATACTTAATAAATCCAGACGAAAATACCTGGTGCACAACTGCACATGCTGATCAATATTCCTGTAAAGTTTCATGACTCTAGGTCAAATACTTTTTGAGTTACGTGCGACACAAGTTGAAAATTGCAAAATTTTACTAAGTCAAGGGCAATAACTCTGGAAATACTAAAAATATCCAGACGAAAATACCCAGGTGCACAACTACACATGTTGATCAACATTCCTGTAAAGTTTCATGACTCTAGGTCAAATACTTTTTGAGTTACGTGCGACACAAGTTGAAAATTGCAAAATTTTACTAAGTCAAGGGCAATAACTCTGAAAATACTAAGAATATCCACACGAAAATACCCAGGTGCACAACTACACATGCTGATCAACATTCCTGTAAAGTTTCATGACTCTAGGTCAAATACTTTTTGAGTTACGTGCGACACAAAAGTGAACGGACGGACGGACGGACTGAAGGACGGACGGACAAGGGTAAATCTAAATGCCCGCCACTAACGTGGGGGCACAAAAAAGTGAGACATACGAGTATTGGTTTAAACATATTTAAAATTGATTGCAAAACAAGATCTTGCAACTTATATTAATCACTTTCGAGTCTGCTTCCTGGAACCAACCAGTACTGGTGTCATATGAAGAAACATGGTCGTGATCCAATTAGGACTCAAACCCATGATCCCTAGGTTGAGAGGCAGACATCTTTACCACTAGGCCATTGCTTCCCTTTGACATATTTGTAGACTGTATAAAACAAATAAAAACACTAATTTAAACACAGTCATACCTGATTTTGTCTCGGCTTGGATTGTCGGTGGTTTAGTTTTACCAAACAAACCAGTTATCTGACCACTACCTGGTTTACCTGACAATAATAGTCACATTTTATTATAGTACACTACAAAAACTTCAAATTAAAACTATCATCTGAGCAGAAAACTTTTTAAAATATTTTTTTTACAAGTACATTACAAACAAATTAAATTTGACACATTTTCGATCTGTGTAATATAAATATTGAAGAACCACCAAAACTACTCATTTTGTTCTTGTAAATAGTATATTGTATGCTGTATTGTTTTATTTTTCTTATTTAATTCTTTTTCAAATTTAAATTCTGAATTGTCACTGCATAAACTTGTGGGTCAGTGGCACTGTAAAGTTTACTTTGGTTTGAAAGTACTAATGCAAGGGTTCTAAGGAATATTTAAGGAATATTTGTTTAATGGTGAAAGTAATTTGATCACAAAAGTGTAACAAACTATAAAGATGTCAAATTTATGTTCTGTAGTACTTGAAACAACAAAATATTGCAAATAAAACTTTGGATATCAACAATATGTCAAGATTAGAAAAGAACAAATTTGTACAATTTATTAGCTTAAACATCTCATATTTTATATGTCCCTGCAAAATATTCTTCACTATAAACACTCACTTTCAGAGGAGCTTTTTGGCAAGGTCTGCTCTGTTTTATTTGCAGCAGCATCAGTCTCTGTTTTACTACCAAAACATGGTGTCCCGGCAATTGAAAAATTGAAACCAGTCTGTGGTTTGCTGCTCTCTGACTGTCCACCAAATGTAGATGTTGAAGAACCACCTATAGTGTGTGAAAAGTTTTTTGTTATATTAAATACGGAGATAATTTACATCATATGTTTTTTGTTTTAACAGAATAAATCCGATACATGTAACTTAGAGTATTGCAAACGAAATGTTAAAAAATACCTAAATGATGTTAAATGTGCACTTTCAAACTAATTCAAAGATTTTAAAACAAGCTTGACAAACATTAGAGGAATCAGGTTGAAACTGAAATAAGCCATTAAATATAAAGGTTGCTCAATTATAAATAATTTATAGACCAGCCTTCAAAATCACAACCATTTTTTCCAAATGCCAACATGACTTGCTGCTCAAATATAAAAATTAATATTTCATTTTGATTTTTCTAGCAGATTTAAACAAACTATCACTATTTGCGGTTTGAATCAAACCTACCTGCATTAAAGGTAAATCCTGCAGCTGGTGTGGTCTCCTCTGTTTCAAACAACTTCCTTCCAACAGGTGTGCTAGTCGCTGAAGCACCGGGGAATTTAAAACTGTCCTGGGCATTCTTGCCAGGGGCTTTGACTGTGACAGGTGTTGATGTTATTGCATCTCCTGGTATGAACGGATATATTTTCAACTTTAATTAATATACAGGTATTCAAAATATTAACTGTCCGAAGTATCAGAGTTCTTGAAACTTGAATATAACACACTTGCCTTAGCTTATTTTTCTTTAAATATATAGATTAATCATCCTGAACAGGAATAAATAACAATGATTAAGTTAAAAGCAGACAAATTTACATTTAATAAATATAATTAAATAAATAATAAAGTAAAGTCTTAATGCCAAATAGTTGAACAGTAAACTCTATATAACGATATACCGTTTATAACAATGCTGTTGCCTTGGTTCCAACTTTTTTGTTTTCAAAACGGTTGCCTCTTGGATATAACAATATCCACTTATAAAGATATAAATTTGGCTGTCCTGAATATACTTATAAGCGAATTTTACTGTATAAGCTTTCTTTATCTGACATTACTTACGAGCATTATGCCCTAACCCCCAATAATACTAACTACCTGGTACACTTGTTGATGTAAAATTGTACTGCGTGCCGAACCCTTGTTCGTTACTCTCGCTAGAATCCTCGTCGTACTCGTCGTCTTCCTCCGTGTCCTCGATGTCATTCTCCGATCCACTTGGTGTTATATCTTCAAATTTTATCCCATTGATTTCCTTCACTTTTGTCACTATTCAATACAAAATAACATAATTCTTTTTAAAACAAATCAAGCAATTTGTTTGGACAAATTTATTAAAAATAATATACAAACTAGAAATGTGTCCATAGGACATGGGTGCCCCCACCGCGCCACTGTTCTGTCAATCTTATGACCCTAGGTCAAATATTTTTTGAAAACTAAAAATCTTTTACTAAGTAAAGGGCAAGAACTTAACAAATACTAAATAAATCCACAAGCAAACCCCAAGGTGCATAAGTACACATGCTGATCAACATTCTTGTAAACTTTCAGGCTTACAAGTGAAATACTTTTTGAGCTATGCATGAACAAGTTGAAAATTGCAAATTTATACTACTGTAAGTCAAGGGCAATAACTCTAACAAAACTGAAAAAAATCCACATGCAAAGTCCCAGGTGCATAGCTTCACAGTGATGTGAATCATTATTCCTGTAATTTAGTGATGTTGATCATTATTTCTCTAATGTTGGTTGATTCTAACTCAAGCACTCAAGGAACAAATAACAACATAATGAAACAGTTTTAACTAAGTCAAGGGAAATAACTCTTAAAAATACTGGATAAATCCACAAACGAAACCCCAGGTGCAAAACAAAATATGCTGAGCAACCTTCCCGTAAGGTTAAATGACTCTATGTCAAATCCTTATTGAGTTACATGCGACACAAGTTGAAAATTGCAAAATTTTCTAAGTCATCAAGGGCAATAACTCTAAAAATACTAAATAAATCCAGACGAAAATACCCAGGTGCACAACTACATATGCTGATCAACATTCCTGTAAGTTTCATGACTCTAGGTCAAATACTTTTTTGAGTTACATGCGACACAAGTTGAAGATGGCAAAATTTTACTAAGTCAAGGCAATAACTCTAAAAAATACTAAAAATGTTCAGACGAAAATACCCAGGTGCACAACTACACATGCTGATCAACATTCCTGTAAAGTTTCATGACTCTAGGTCAAATACTTTTTGAGTTACATGCGACACAAGTTGAAAATTGCAAAATTTTACTATGTCAAGGGCAATAACTCTAAAAATACTAAAAATATCCAGACGAAAATACCCAGGTGCACAACTACACATGCTGATCAACATTCCTGTAAAGTTTCATGACTCTAGGTCAAATATTTTTTGAGTTACGTGTGACACAAAAGAGAACGGACGGATGGACGGACAAACAAGGGTAAATCTAAATGTCCGCCACTAAAGTGGGGGCACAATAATATGTAAGAAACACACAAGTATCTGCTTCCATAATGATTAATATAATGACTAAAAGCATGGCTTTATTATAGGATAATCCATTTTAAACGTCAGTGAACTTGACACTGACCCAATTGATCTAAAAATACTCAATTCAAAATCAGATGCTCATAGAAAGTAACTTTACACTGAATATGTAAGTAATCAGTCAATAAAACAAGGCGTTATTAGAACTATGAAGAAGTGTGAGAGACCAAATAAAAGAAAATAAAACACCAAATAAAATATGTCCTACACCAATATCAACATCAATGCTATGCCATCAATAGCATCACTACCTAACATCTTATATATATGCACTAACAGAATCATATTTGCTTAAACCATACAATTCTTTTGCCTATGATATTTAACACAGTAATATGACCTGGCTACCAACCTTGTGAGCTTTGAAATGGAGCAGTCTGTACTGTCCTTGGAATGCCAGTATCTTCTTGTCCCCCAGCAGGCTTAGAAGTCATACCAAAACCTTGACCAAAACCTTGACTGGCAGGCACTGTAAAATTTTGTATCAAATACTTGAATATCTGTCATATATCATTGGCAAGTTCTATGAATTTCCATTTTCTAAACTGCTAAACTTTAATCAATGGACTATTCCAACTTCGAATTGGAAAAAGTCAGTTGTACATTTTAGGGATGTTGAACAACCATTTCACCTTATTTTCACTGATTTCTCATTTTCATCATTGAAGAAATAATCAAACAATAAATAAGTTTTTTTCAAATTTTTAAAAAGAGGAAATGATACGAGTAATAACGGGTATACTTAGATGCCACATAGCAAAATGAAAATAAAATGAGAAACAATTTCAGAGCAAAGAGCATATTGTAATCTAAATAACAAATCAACCAGCATTGCCTACACTAAAAAGCTATCACATCAAGCATTCTGATATGATGAGTTAATAACAGCAACCTAAATTTGCTTTTAATTATACTTCATATTGTCAACTGAATACTTTGTAGCCGCAAAGAAAGAATTACCTGTTGGCTTAGTCTGTGACTTTTGCTGCAGTACTTGGCCCCCTTTCTCTGCACTCTTTTCAATAATCTTACTAAAGAACTGCGACCTTTGACCGTCTTTCTCTGACTTATCTTTCACTTGATCTTGCTTGTTTCTCTCATTTAAGTTTCTTACAGTCTGAGCAGGTGCCATGGAATTATCATTCTTTTTTCCCTTATTGGGTGGAGCTGATGTCCGCCTGGTCATGCCAACAAAGTCGCCTGAATATAACATACATGGTAGTTCATTACCTCAATAATAATTATTTACCTGTGCCGTCTTTTCGTAAATTTTCTAAGAAGATGGAAAACAGGTAGATAATTTCAAATGTCAGATCTAAGACTTATATTATTACATAGCTGTATTAATTAAACACTAACAGTTACACAATTAACAAGATAGCTTTGATTATGATAAAACAAGATGCCCATTATGGTCCACCATGTGCACACAGACACCTGAGTAAAAATTGTCAAAGTTTCAAAAGACAACATAATGATATCAAACCATAGTCTTATTTAAAAAAGTATAATTATAATTATTTCAATTTTCCAGCACTAACAGAAAATGATTGATGTTTAATAGAAAAAACCGACAAATTCTCCTCAAACCCTAAAACAACGATACTGATAAAAACAGATGATAAAAACGATAATTATATCACATCTGTCCCAGCAGTAAAGAAAATGATGATGTTTTAATAGAAAAGAAACTGACAAATTCTCCTCAAACCCTAAAACAACGATACTGATAAAAACAAATGAAACCGACCTGCACTTGAGGAGCCATGTAGACTTGCAGGTTGTTGTTTAGGTTGTCTGGTACTAGATCTTCCAAGCTGATTATCTGGTATCTTTAACACTGACAAGTTTTCTGAATATAAAATACATTGTCATTAATTTCATTTTCATTTTACTATGGTTTCAGTATCATCTTTCAACTTGTTTGGTTACTCATTCAGTATAGAATGTTTGTCTTTGTGGCTATATGCAATGTTGTGCCACTTGGAGCCATAGGTGAGTTGGTCCTAAAAGCAAACCAACTTCACAAATACATGTATATTGTATTATCAAATTTAGATTGAAGGGCATGGGGGTGGCCTTGTGGTTAAGTTATCTGCCTCTTATCTCAGCTATCGTGGGTCTGCGCAATATTTCCTGGTTAGTTCCAGGATGCAAACTCAAGGCAGATTCAAATAAATCATAATCTTTCTTCACAAATGAGCTTAAATGAATGTTCAAATTAAGACTGAATCTTAGTGGATATCTTCTACTGATGTTAATAAAACATATACCTGTAGATGTAATACTTTTGCTAATATGACAACCATTTTATTCAGGTTGACTTCAAATCTAAGAACTGCCAAGTCTGTTTTGATTGTTTCTTTGTTGTTTTTGTGCCTTTTTCCAGACAGAAACACAAAAGTTACAACTTGTATTTTCCTGTTTCTGATTGTGCCTCACATAGAGAAAATACTATATGGCATAAATCAGCCAACATAGTTTTGTGAGTAAATCATTTTTCAAATCAAGAATTATATTCATCTGAAAACCTAATTTGAGAGATATTCAGAATATTGAAAGTAGTGCATCTTTTCCAAAACGTACCAGGTTTAGTTGATCGTACCACTGATATATTACGTCTGCACAAATGATCTCTCAGTCTCTCTAACCGATCTCTGTTCACCTTTTTCTCTCCTTCATTAGAATACTCCTTCTCAGACTTAACTGGATTCCCAGAAAGAAGAGAGTCTGCCAAGTTAGACAACTCTGCTGTTGTGCTAAAAATAGAAAATACTAAGTTTTTATTATAAAACATTAGAATTGTAGATAAAACAATATTTAAAATGCATCAGTGTTAACAGTTTTTAATAAAATTAGGATCTTGTAAGAATTTGTGAAATATCAGGGTCTTTACAACTCTATAGATAGCCGACACATTAGACAGGTATAAAATTTAATTTATACAGTAAAAATAAAATGATGAATATAAATGGTACTCACTTATCCCTATGATTAAAAGATAAACTAACCCACCCTTATGATTAAAAGCTAAAGAACACTTACTCTCCTCTTTTGAAGGTAGAAGAGTTATTGCTCCAGGCCGAAGTTTTATTGTATAATTTAAGTTGTTTTAAACGTTCCTCTAGATCTCTCAGTTTGTTTTTCTGTGCTGTAATCAGATTACTGTTGCTCTTCACTACTCTGTATACAGCATCATTTGTGGGATTTTGTACCCTGTAAATAAATAGAACACACATGTTGACATTAATCTTAGCAAGAAGTGGTCCAATGTTACGAGTTATGACACACAGGTATAGAAATTTCCTAAAGTTCAACTTTAAATCCTATCATGCAGCCTGTAAATTTCCTTGACTGAGCAATTTGACTGCAAATGCTATACATTTGTGAATATGGCTTCATGATGTATATAGCCAGGAGAGCAAATAATTCAAAATGAATTATGATAAATGGATACTAGTAGCCATATGACTTGTGTTTCAGCTGTCAAATTAGTGAACCTGTTCATGATATTAAACTTGTAACCTAGGTGGCTTTCAAAGATCTAAGTATTAAAATTAACCCTAAACCTGCAGTAACTAACAGTGATTAGACTTTGCTACCAGTATAGAGCCAGGCCAGTCTGCACATTCATGCATAGGGAGATTCATTTAAACAAGAAGTATTAGTAGGAAAACATACTTGACTATATTAAGCACCTGATAGAGCCTAGATAATTTAGAAATAAGCAAACAGAAACATTTCTTTCAATTATGTGATATAGTTAGGAGTCTTAAATATGGACCAACTAATTTTATTTGTTCACAAAAGACCATAAATCAGTAAAATT